CCCCCCCCCCCCCCCCCCCCCCTCCCCACTTCCCACAATCATTGTGTTTTACACACAATCATTACACATCCTGGGATTCATCATAATATCATCAGACAGTATGTTCTGTGCAGAACACTGATCTTTTAAGATTGCGACCAGTTACACTGAAACATTCATTTTATTTTAATGCTCACACAATATTTTTTAATAGTCCTCTTTTTCACACACACACAAAGAAAGGTCCATTTAAACTAGAACGGATTGCATTCCAAGTTGAGTTTTTCTTTGCTGAAAATGTTATCAAGGACCACTCTCAAAGAAAAAAAAATAATTGACAGGCCACTTTGAAGTACTACAACTTGGATGTTCTGACCAGGGTTATTCTCCAGCACTGCTGGTTGCATGATAACGATCATGCAGAATTTGTATGACAGAGTGAGCAACTCCTAACCTCCTAGCAACTTCTCGCACTCCTACATCATCCTGCAGCCATGCTATCACTCTCCATCTGTCAACATTGGGCAAGCATCTTTGCCAAGCCACTGCTAAAATGGTAAATGTTGCAAACATACCCATTACCCATTCCTTAAAAAAAAAAAAGTGGGTGATGTGTTCACTATAGTCACGAATTACATATGAAAAGCAAATTTCATAAATGATATGAGCAGGATTTGCCACAGGAAGCATTTAATAAAAGTGGCCCTTCAATTTCTAGGAGCATTTGTTCCATGGACTGTTTGGGGTTCAACACACCACCAAATGGGAAACATTGCTATACTTCAGATATTAGAAGAATTTCAATTTCATGAAGCAAAATCAGCACATGTCTGACAGCTGAATAATGCACGCATTACAGACATCTGTACATTTCTAAAATATATATTCTGCACACAACTACACAGTATTAAAATGAATACAGTTTGAGAATCCCCACAAATGGGCAGGAAGAGTGTGGTCATGAGAATCTTGAATGAGATATTTGTTAGATAACTATTCTTGAGATTTTACAGAGAATCTTAAATTAGATGTTTATTAGATAAATGTTTTTGAGATTTTACAGAGAATCTTAAATTAGATTTTATTAGATAACTGCGTTAGAGATTTTTAAAAACAGATCTGTGGTCTTCTCTATTGTATGACAGAACATATTTGAGCAGTTTCAGAGCAAAACCAGCTCACACTGTTTTAAAATAGGGCAGGGGTCAATCAGACAGAACAGGATATAAGTGACACCTTGGGTATGAAAGTGTTAAAAGCGGGAGAGCCGAAAAAGAGAATTGGTTTTTTCCCAGGCAGACCATGATGACAGTGACGCTCTTAGAGGGAACTGTTACATGACGATGACACTACCACTATAGTTTAAAAAAGATATTCATATGACCACATGTCGCACAGGTGTCCAGGAGTTATATTCTTCTTTTGATGCTACTCATCGATAAAGGCTTTGGACCAAAGATTTAATTGTTTCTTTATGTGTCAATTCCCCCCCCCCCCCAACTTTCCTGCTGAGCTTCCTTATTACAGATGGTGTTATGTGAATTCATTTATTCAGTATAGACTGACAGGTTTTTTGTTGTTGCTGTTAATGAGCATATTTCTTAAATCTAAATGGGCACAGTAAAACCAACGCTGCTTAATGTATAATGGAAGTCTTCCTGGTAAAATGTATCTCATGCTCTGGGGCTTGATTTTGTCATCCCTATATTCAACACCACAGCCGTATAAACTATCTTCTTTTTCTTCATTCTTGTTTTGTCAATAAAGCAAAACTTCATTAACATAAACTAAAAATAATACTTGGTTAACATGAACACCATTTCAGTCCCAGCGAATAAGAGCCAGAGGCTGAATCGTCACAATGCTGAGCTCTCAAGTGAGAGTCGTGGGTTCAAATCCTTAGCAAGGTTGAGGATTTTTTTCTGTCAAAGGCACACACAAAATTCCTAATCAATGGTGACAGCAGTAGCACTAAATCTTCATGTTCAAAGACCTGTGCATACATCCTAAAAAGTAATAAATGCAAGCAGTAACTGCAGTTTTTTTTAAAAAGAATGTATTGTTATTTATCCCTGTTAAGCAAACGAAAAAAAAATCTTTTTTTTTGGGGTGGAATTCATGTTAAATAGGTTTTACTGTATCTGCTTTGTGCTTATAGTCATCACATTTCAGCTGATGATTGGCAGCAGAGCCAGCATGCACTCAGTTGTTCAGTATACTGCATCTTAAGCTGACAGTGATTTCTTCAGTCAATCTTATTCTAGATCTCCCTCTGGGTGGCTGATCCATTTCAGTCTTTGTGTCTCAACGAATTTGATGATAGATGTTGTTTTGATAGTTCTTCTAATCTCTTAATTTCTCACATCATACCTTGTCATTCTTCTATTATCAAATCTCTCTAGGCTTCAGACTGGAATCTACTGAGTGTCAAGGAATGACATGCCACTACACATAATCTTAGACGAGTCGGGACTTGTATTACCCCGCTCGGCAAAAATTTCAAACTTGGACTCGTCCGGAAAGGTATATAGTCCCATATATTGATCTATACCTTTATCGGATAAAATAATGATGTTTACACCTTCTAGTTGCTTTGACTTATCATCATTTTCAAATTTGCAACTGTAGGTTAACTATTTCTAGGATTTTAATTGACTATTCCTGGAAACCGGTTTACTCCTTGCTCATGTATACAAGGAACTTCTTCTTACCGACGCCAAGCTGGATTTTGTGCGGGCATTCTTCTGCCAGCATTCCTTGAGACCAGATGTATTCATCGACGCCTAACATTCTTACTTTGAGAAGGCGGCCTGTAGTCTCTAGGACATTTCCCTATATGGGTAAGTTAATTATAGTTTACGAGTACCTTAAATGATGTCTGGTTAAAAAGGTCACTGCTGTAAATATTCCGGCCTCGGCTATGTATCGCACATAGTTCGACCGTTCTTGATCTCTAGAGAACCGGATCCGAACTTAGACTAAATAGTCTGTGCCCTAAATAACCCACACATATTGGTAAAGATAATGAACCTACAAGTGTTTACCATTTAAACTAACAACAGAAGTTTGGGCAATACTAATGGAGATGGAGAATGTAGGTCAGTACTAGGCAGCTATCGCGTTGCTTTGAGTGTGTTTGACACAGATCAATGGATGTGTGGGAATGGCCTGAGAGTCGGAAGAGATGAGTACTGACTGTAAACATTAGTGTCTGTTTGCAGATGTGAGGGGGTGGAGAGAATGCGATACGTGTGATAGTGTCTATCTATCTTCACTATATATATATAAATCTGACTTTCCCTCTCTTGCACTAAACAGACAGATAAATGAAAGGAGACATTGTCTCCTGGTCTTGAGAGTACACTCTGAGGAATGATACAGAGGAGCAGAGGTGGAGTAGGCTGATGTGGGATGGAAACTGATTGCTTATTCATAGTCTTTCCTGTCAAGATGATACCCTCTTGGTGATTACTAATTCTGAGTTCTTTCCTGACAGGATGAAACCACTGTAAAGAGCTGGCAGATTAATCGCAGTCCTACCAACATCCACCAACCAACTATCCACCAGCTAACACCTTTGAATGTACCTGGCATCATCCGGTTGTGCCATATACAACCATCACCTTAACATGGCCAGAGAGCGGTGAGTGAACTCCAGAGCAGGTGAACATTTGCAGAGAGTATATCCATACTCGAGTGTACCAGTCTTCAGGGGCTTGGTGGAGCTCAGAGACAGAGTTGTGACCTGACCTGTGGGAGAGACTTGCTGAGTCCCTATACAGTTCTTGTGTCCTCGATGGTGAGGTACTCCTCTATAACCAGTTTCACATGAAGCAGAACTACCAGAGTCAACTACAGTCGAATCACCATGGACTGAAGGGAGCATCAACAATAGAACTCTGATAAGTGCCAGTTTTTGTGTTATTATCATGCTCTACTCCCCACAGCTCCCTAGATTCCTATGATGACACGGTGTTGCTAGTCAAGACCTGCTGGCTGTTTCAATATCTGAGTCGTTGCTCTGAGTTCTGATCCTACAAACATTTTAAACATTATTCTTTTATTGATGTAAAGAAGTTGTATTAATTACATGCATTTATTTTCATGGCTGACTTAGGTGTCTCTATTTCACCTTTCTAAGTGTTTAGCATTGTTGGGTGTATGTATAATAAATATTATATGTGTTAACATGGTTATGATAGTAAAGTGAAGTTTCATTGCTCAGATCTCATGAACCAATACTGCCAATACTATGATAGTAAACTATCATAACCTGGGGGCTTTCTTTTTATAGTAGTGGGGGGTGTCCAGCCAAGTGTGCCTAGGAATTTGTATTCATATACTGATATATTTTGTAGTGCCAAAACTTGAGTTGCCCTACTCCAGAAATAAGTTGAGCGTATATTGGCCACGGGGCATCCCTTAGACCAATACGAGCCAAACGACTCAACATAATTATTTCTGAGTGCTGTTGGTTCTTAAGGAGAAATCCTTAAATCAGGCACGTGACAGGAGTGATATGTGACACTGAGAAGAAAGACCTCTGGAGTGAACACTACCAGCTCAGATGTAATGCCAGTCAGAACATGCTATCCTCAATCATCAGCCAAAAAAAAAAAAAAAAAAACCCCTTTTCATGCGTTCGGGTGTATTGGGCATACAAAGCCAGACCTATATTTTATAGACCAAGCAGCATTTGGTGTGTTATGTGGTCAACATCTCCAAATGTGGCTGTAGTTTAGTCTTGCACACTCAGCTGAATTCTAGGCTTGCAGAGGGAAAGGGTCGCTCTGCAACATAATCTCTGTGAAGATGGTGCTTTGGTGGTTTGGTAGTAGGGGAGGAAACAAGTGTCTACATCTACCTCACTGGGAAGTCCTTTTTATAACCTTTCAAACTTCAACAACGAAGCCCACATTTACAGTCTTCCTGATAGATGGTGCACAACCACCCACCATCCAACATGTGGGAAGTTTCATTGCTCAGATCTCATGAACCAATACTGCTCCAGATCTCAGTGATCACGATGATATACTAGGCCACCATTTCGGGATGTGTGCCTTCAGTGGAACCACAACTCCATTCTTGGACACAATCTCAAGATCCTCTTCAATATGTTCTAGCCTGAGAAGACAAATACCGAACTTTCCTTGAGAATTACGAAGTTTGCCGGCATTTTTGCTCTTTTCATGGATGGTTACTGTTGTATCTGGTTCAACTGGCTCTAGCCTGCAAAGAGACACGTCTGGTTATTGTTATATTGTACAGCCAGTAAAAAAAAAAAAAAAAAAAAAACACCAGGTTATTATAAATTTTAGCAAAAAATAATACACCTAGATATCACAACAGTAAAAAAATCAAATCGGTTATGTATTACAAAATACTAATGATTCATACCATCACAAAAATTAAAAAAATTATAACTATCAACACTAACGTTTAAACTAATATCACTACTGGTATGGAGAACCATCTTGGCTAAAGTAGCAGCAATGGCAAACTCAGAGAAAATCTATTACTGGTTACATTTGTACAAAATAAAAGTAATTTTAATTCATAAAATTTATAATTTTACAAATAATAATAAAAATCTACAAAAAAATCTACCTCAAGCTCCAATTTATACCCATCACAAATTTCAGCTGCAAACAATCCTTTCCAAATTAAACTTTTAACACTTCCAAAAACATCTCTTCTTTGAATTCCATTAAATATATCATGTGTTCTCATAATGTGTTCTCATACTTTTCATTTGGTCAGAACATACCAAATCCATCTGGCTTTCCTGGGAATTTCTGTGTTTGTAACCCAACTGAAAGCATAACACTTGTGATTTTTTAAAAGCAGTTATTTCGTACTTAGGCATTGCATGGCACTGTTGCCAGATTTGTCTGTTCTTTCATATACCCTTAAAGATAAAAACTTAACTGTTTTATTGGTTTACAAAGCTTGTTATTAACAGTGCAGTTAAATATATGATCTGAAGAAAAAGAAACAAACTATTCTGTAGTTCTTACAACATGAAATCTTGAAAATATGGCCTAAAATATTGACCTCTCAAGTTTAAAAATAAACACATGCAACATTTACTCTGTACTACTTACTTGCCAAGACTAACTGGCACAATTCGTTTACGTATAACCCCAGTATGGAATGTCCTGGCAGTCAGCTCCTGGCCAATATAGCAGCCTTTCTGAAAATTTACTGTCCAAACAAATTCAAGGATATTTAAATAATTAGGACACAAACAATATAAGTTATTGACACGCACTGACAAGGCATAAGCAGCTTTTAAAAACTTAAACAAAATAGGAAACTCTAAACTATACTGCTTTTCAAATCTAATGTTATTTCAGTTTAAAAAAAAATTAAAATTGGAGACCCACCAAAGATTTAAAAAAAAACTTAAATGCATTCAGAAATAAATGACTAAGAAACATGATGAACATAAAATGGGACGAATTCAGGAAAAGTGATGACAGAAGCCAAAGGTGCTGGACTGGATTCAATCCATGATACCAAAATGATTGCAGAGGATAGAACGGAACGGAGAAATAGACTGCGGGCAATATATGACATAAAATGGTACAACAGAAGCAAGAATAAATGAATGGATGATTCATTAAATGCCGTGAGCTGTATTATTACAAGGTTTACATCACTAAAACCAGGCAAAAAAATTGTGCAATATACTGTTTGTGTCACCAATATTTGAATTCACGATGAGAAAACATTTTGAATTTTACAATAAAATACTTGAAACAAAGTCCTTTAGCCTTTCATTTATCAATGGAACATAGGTTAATCAATTCACGCCATGGTCTTTATAGACCTCTTTATCACTGGTTGGATTTTGCAGTTGAAATTTTCTTCAGAATGAGGCAGCTAGTCCCGCAGCAAAGTTCTCACTACCACTGATGGTATTCAAGGTAGGTCACATTTACTATTCACTGCTTCAATTACGGGTGCTTGGAACAGATTATACTGGCAGAGATTCATACCTCCATTCATAAAGTCTCATCTTTACTGGGACCTTGTTAAAAGATTATTCTGACGGAGAGACATACCTCCATTCATAAAGTCAAGGTTGCTCTCCAACGGTAAACATTTCCCTGATGGAAGATCAGATATTCCTTCTGGTATGCCCCACTGATATCTGTGCTTTCTGTAGTCCTCTTCTGTTAGTTTGTCCCCACCAGATTCTGTCAACAATAACAATATAGTATTATTGTATATTTGCACCAAATAAACAACTTGTGAGTAACTCTTAAACTGCCAGTTACCACCTGTATTTACCACAGCAATGGGGGATCCCCTGTAAGCCTCCGGATTTAGGGTTGCATGGGCTAGTGCAGCTGTCATGCACTATGAGGGTTAGGATTTTATCTCTGTCCAAGACAAAAAAAACTCTTACCAAGGATTTGACCTTCGATCTCTAGCATGTGAACCCAGCATACTTAACCACTCAGCCAGATGCTAATCTGCTTTTAATAATAAAGTTTACATTCATATGGCAGACACTGCCGCTGCACTGTGAAGTGTACAACTATAACATATTGCTGGTCATGGCATGATGAAGTGAGGTAATCAATTCCTTGCCTCAGCACTGTTCCTAGCCTGATGATTCTGAGGACTGTCTGTTACTCATGTATGAAGATTAGCTGGTGATTCCTTAGTCGAGAATCTTCTGGAAGCTGTCAATTTCAACTCACAAGTTAATTTCATGTTCTTTTCTTGTTGTAGCAAAAACAACCCCAATGTTTATTGACTATTGTGTGGTTTGAATATCAACCCTTACATCCAGTAGCTTGCCATTGTTTTATGAATGCTAAAAAGCTTATACCATGGACTACTGATTTAAGAATGAACATCATAGCACACCTTGAACCCTGTGCAATGTGCTGACCTTGAACCCTGTGCAATGTACCTCTTAAGAATGGCCAAGTAACACTACAGATGGTTGGGACTATAACTGTCCCAGTATACAGCAACAGTGACATGAACTGCTGTTCCAAGCTGTGTCGCCTATCCCCCATCACTCTTCTTTGTCCTGGTAACTATGCTGGAATTATTAAACTGTATTCACAATCCTTACATGAAAAAGTTTAAAAATATACAAAAAATACCAAAAACAATATCTGATTTTGCAAGAGTTGTATATTTCCATTAAATCTAATATCTTGGTTACCTAAGCTGTCCTGAGCTGTGATAATTCTGTCTGCAAACGTGGGGACTCGTGGGTCCTCAAATCTGAAGGTGTCGGTTGTGTTTTGGCTACTACTGTCCTTAGCTGTAGTCTCTTCACTGGTGTCAAACTGAGACCATATCCTGTAGGTATCACTGACGTCCGATATGTCAACCTGTGGTGTCAGGCATAAAGAAGACAGGGATGAGAAAGTACAAATAAGTTCAACTCTTCCTGCAGCAAACCATACATTTCTTGGTCACTGCAATAAAAGATGATTGTCTTGCTGTCTTTTAGCACAGACAGATGTTAGATTAACTTCTTAAATCTGCATTATTAGTTACATTATTAGTGTCTTATAGTGTCTTTCTTGAACTCAGAGCCATCTTAATAATATTATGGGCCCCTGGGCAAACCAGTGTGCTGCAGACCCTATGACAACCACTCACAGGAATGAAACTGTTATTGATGGCAAGTGATTTGACATTGTAAGCTCCTGGGGCTCCCCAGCAAGCGCCCAGTGGGTTAAGACAATGCTGTTAGAACTTCTTCATACTTAAGTATTGTTACTTTAAAACTCAATTTAGTGGGACAGAAGGGTATACATAACTAGCTGATGCTTGTGAGTGAAAAAGTGAATACAGTCTTACAGTACACACTGCTAGTGGGATGAGAGGTGATCAGTCTTCAAATTTTCTGAAACAGTGTTTCTCAACCTTTTTATACCTGTGACCCACCAAAACAGAGGAACCTGCTTTGCGGCCCACCTGGCAGCTAGCCAAACATAGAAACAAAAACAAATGCAGATAGCAGTCATCAGCCACCATGGCAGGCATGGGAGGCTAAGAACATGGGAGGCTAAGAACCAGGGAACCAGACCTCCAGGGTGCACTGGGAAGACAGTCCCTATCATACAAAGGACTGGAATGGATCAAAGCCAGAAATAAAACTGCTGATAGAGATGTCTGGAGATCTTTCTGGCAAAACTCTACACCCCAAGGTAGAAGAGGAGTGACTAAGTAAGTAAGAAAGTAAGTAAGTAAGATAGCAGTCATTTTGTTAAATCTGATGTCATGAAAGTACAACTTTCAGCGAATGTGGCATCTTCTGTGGCTCAGAGGTTGGAAAATCTATGTGGTCGAGCAGAGTTTCTGAGATTTGTACCTGTTCATTTTTCACCCTTGATGTGTTAACCCTACAGAATATAATCCTGAAAGAGAAAAACTACCTATCCTAACCACTTACATGACTAGACAAACAATTCTGGTGGTTCACCTGGACTTTCTGTGGCTCACTGGTCGGGCACTTTAAAAAAAAATTACATTGGTTCCCAGACTGACGCAGCTTCAAATGGGTACCAGGCAAATCATAGGAAGTAAATGTATTTGATGTGATGTTCACCATATTACCCACGGAGTGTGACTGGTCTATAAAAAACAGTTCTAGCACTATGTGCCCAATATGCCTGAAAACATGGAAAAGGGTCCTTCACTTTACTGGTGTGATGCTGAGCACATCACCCGGCGACTGCCAACTGGTCAATAAAATATAGGTCTAGCCCTATATGCCCATAAAGCCTGAAGGCGTGGAAGAGGATCCTTGACTTTAACTGGCTGGGTGAGGTAGGGTGACTACTTTTCTTGCCCGCTGCCTCTCCATCCTAGACACTTCCAGAAAATTTAAAAAAATGCACTAGCATCTATTCTTTAGGCTCATCATTCTTTAGGCTGGTTTTCCTATAGATCTATTAGTAACATCAGCTCTGTGGCTAAGTTGTTGCGAACACTTCGTAATGCCAGGGTGCCAGGTTCGATCCCAGCTGCGGGCCATGCGCCTTGCGTTGGTTTTGACAGTGGTATCAGGGGGCCGACCATCCAGAAAGCAATAGCAAACTACTGGATGTAAATTTACCTAGAGAAACCACACAACAGCCAGGGGCTGCTGGGGTTGGTTCTGCAACGTCCTGTAAAGGATACGCAACTAACCTAACTTATTAGTAGCACAACGTTAGCAGCACTGCTGTTCTGCCAAGCTGTTGAAGGTTCAAGTTGAGAGGACCAACTTCCTTGCAGCCATTTTTATCCCATATGGCTCAGTCTCTCTCTGCAGAATGGCTAGCCATCTGCAGGTAGCGCCACACAAGCACGAGCACCGTAGTTCTGACGATGATTCCCAGGAGTTTCTGTGAAAAGTGGACTTGTGAAACAAATGACTAAGCTGTGAAATGAGCAGACGACTTTCAGACCATAAGGCAAACGGCTTGACTACTCCACCCTGGAATCCCTGTGAGGCAGTTGTGGATCCCACCAGTTGTCTTAGAAAGTCACTGTCAAAACTTACTCTGTGGTTACTCTATCATGTATATAACCAACTTATTCTCATGTAAAAGACATACCTTCATTCATTTCTCCAAAAATGTTTTCTACTTCTTCACAAACCTTATTTTATATTATAAATTTCCTGTGTGGGTTCCAGTGCCCTAGTATAGGGAATACAAAAATATACTCACTGCCTACCCAAAAGCATTTCGTAAGAGTAGCCTAACTCGGAGCTTCCTTCAAAGTCGAAGTGCATCTGCCTGAGAGGCAAGGAACCAGCAGTCTGCATACAAATGAGTCGCATCTGTAAAACAGATGCACAGGAAACACTCACGCTGTGGAACAGGACTGCAGTCCAGAAGTGGATGAACAACCAGAACTTTCCGCCAGAGTTTACAGCTGGTGAACGCGGAGAAGAAGAAGATAAAAATAAGAGTAAAAACAGACAGAACAGAAGAATATATAAAAATGTATATCTGCTATAATTATACTTTAACAAGAGAGAATCTTACTTTCTTTCTTAGCTTGTATTTCTTGAATATCTGAATGAGATCACCAACTGCTGATACATCGACATCAAGGTGAAATGTCACAGGATCCATTCCAGCAGACATTACATTGTAAACAAATAAATCATACAGAACACGTCCCTGAAATAAAACATACATAAATATATGTAAATCTATTTCCCCCCCACCAAAACAATATAAACATCAATATTCTTAGCATGGGTTCTGGGGTCCATCTTGAAACACAAAGAACAGACTCACCCCCCCCCCCCCCAAAACAAGCATGTCATAGAAGGCAACTAATTAGGAGTGTTTCCTTAAAAGTCAGAGTGCATCTGTCTGAGAGGCAAGTAACCAAATGTGGACATACAAATAAGCCAGATTTGTAAAATGGATGTGCACACAAATTTCAAGTTCTAGAACTGAACTAAAGTCTAGAAATGGATGAACGACCAGAACTTTCCACCGGAGTTTAAAGCCGGTGAACATGAAGAAGAAAATAACCACTCTGCTAGCCACTTCTAAAATATTATAAACACAGTAATGACATCTGACTCTATGTTCTAAACCTACACTGTAGACATCAAAACATAGCAAGTATATCCAATTCTATTTTTTCAGATTAATCAATAATGCTTAAAATTAAATTTATACTGCAGTCCAAGGAACAGGCAAAGAATACAATGGATTAAGAACAAATATTCTGAGCATTCATTGTTAACTAGTGTATTGACATTTGTGGTATGCTGAAAAATCTGGCATACTGAAAACCTGGTATGCTGAAATAACTCACATGCTTAAATATATGGTATACTGAAATACCTGGTATGCTGGAAAATCTGGTATACTTTAATCACTAGTATACTAAAATATTTGCTGTAATGAAATACCTGGTATACTGAAACATCTGTTGTAATGAAATACCTGGTATATTGAGACTCTGATATTTTGAAACATCTGGTAATGACTCGGAAAACACAGGATAAGCTTACTATACCTGCACATTAAGCATCATGCAGTACTGTACAGATGGGGAGTTCTCCGCTAGCAGCTTGACATTGTTTGTGACCAGACCTTGCAGAAACTCGGGTGTATCTTTGCCAGAAAGCTGGACTACTCCCCGTGACTTCAAATGACAAAGTGACTGAGTCTCCCATCGTTTGGTCATATGGAGACTCTTCCGCAGGATGTATTTTGAAAAAAGTTTTGTTTTATTAATTAAAAGCCATCTATCACATACAGATCTAGTATCAAGCACTGACTGTGTCAAATGTTTCCGGTACATCTTCAGACAGTGACACAAATTTGTGCAGTTCACCTTCCTGGGAGGAAAAAAATGAAAACATAAGCTATGAAGCAAAGGTAGCCCTGTCACAAATAATGCTATGTACAATATTGGCAACAGAACCTAGCGGCCACACATCTAGTAATCATATCAAACTCCATGAACATGCTTTAGAAAATCACAACGAGCCGCCTTCACTCAGAAGTTGCAGTTAACCTCCACCACCTGGATCTATACACCTAGGCTTGTAGTAATAACACTGGCAAATAATACACTAATGCATACGACAAGAAGCATAGACAAAGCTAATATCATCAATGCAGCACAGGACTAGGATGGTGAACAATAATTAACTTCTGACGCTAACAAGATTGCGTGCCTTGGTAGTTAGGGTTAGTGAAGTACATTTGTGCCATCATCGAGGCTAAAATAAGAGACACTACAGCCAACAGCTAATGGAAGCAGTCAGTAGAGGTACCTAGGAGTGGCTGCTGTATCAGAGGACTGTACACACATGGGAATGTCCAATGTGCAGTGATGACGATTCTGATAACATAACAATATAAAAACTATAGAAAGTTTCACATGTACTACCATTGTCATAAAATAAGCCCTAGCATGAGTTTAAAGTAACATCACAACATAAGCCCTAGCATGAGTTTAAAGTAACATCACAACATAAGCCATAGTATGAGTTTAAAGTAACATCACAACATAAGCCCTAGCATGAGTTTAAAATAACATCACAACATAAGCCCTAGCATGAGTTTAAAATAACATCACAACATAAGCCCTAGCATGAGTTTAAAGTAACATCACAACATAAGCCCTAGCATGAGTTTAAAGTAACATCACAACATAAGCCCTATCCCAAATAAAAGCTCTAGTTAAGATTGTCAAGTAGGCAGAGGGAATAAATTTGTCCATTGAAACACATGATGGCGTTCTGAATTATGAAGTAATGAATATATAAACACTAGAATAAATGTATATTTTTGTATTTGAATATATATATTTTAAAATTTGAATAAATAAATACTTTTGTACCTAAAGAAATAAAACATTCTCTAAAAATAGACCTTGAGTCTTTTGGAGCAAAAATTTACAGATGTTTTCAGGGAATCAGAATGAATATAATATTATGCTGCATATTATTAACATCAATGCATATTTTTAGCATACTAATTCATGTCTTTATGTGTCAGTGACAAGCCATGTTTGAATCAGGGATAACATTCAGTTATTATTGTTCAATGCACACAGGAAAGTCAAAAGCACTAAGTCAGATAACAGCACTAGAAGAAAATAATTTACAAATGAATCAACAAGCCATTCAGCCTGTATGGGATCTAGGGACCACTTTGGTGGAGAAAATTAGTAGACTCCCTATCAAACAAGTAATACGAGGTGACTATCTAAGGATTTGCTTAAATCATGTGTTGGACTGAGAGGAGCAAATACTATAGCCTACTTGTAAACCACAATACAATGTACCAACCAGGTTTTCAAGTATAAGTGCAAAAATGGAAAAAGAAGCAGAACAAAATGAACACAGAACTGGTGTAAAATTGCTACAAGCTACACAGATACAGATATTGAGGTGGGGAAATTAACACTTATGGACTGAATGGTTAAAGGCGAAGACAGGATCACTGGTCAACTAACTAACAATAAATCACAGACAAAATGTTTCTTCCACAGGCTGTTTGCAACCTAATTATATGAGATAACTCAGTATCATATGTGTCCTTCGCTTCAAGCCACCCTGATTCGGGATACTGGATATTAACAAACTCTTTCAGCAGCAGAACTGCTAGCCTGTCCTGTTGTGACTAGACTATACGCATAAATATTATTAAAAAAATATACGCATATTTTAAAGTCCGTGTAACTCAGCGTAGCTTTAGCTTAACCAAACTATGTCTTCCAAGATTTACATATTAAAAATGAATTATGATTAACAAAAACTACATAATGTGAAACGTTCATCCCTTCTTTCTGAACAGCTGAAGTTAAGTTACTTTTAAGAACAAAAGTCAAAGTCAAAAGCAATTGTGTAAACAAAACGTACTCCACTGACTGTGAAATTCTTCACAAATTTAAATAAAGCATTTCTGCAACAACAAGACAAAGATATGCGTCCTACAGTAGGTCGTGGTGAAATATTCAAGGTTTGTTGAATTGTTCTGGCCAAAGAATCGCTGAGTTAGTTTAGCACAGGTCGGGCTTGTTGGTCGATTAGAGTTATGTCCCTTGAATTACGTCTGATTCATTGTCATCATCCTGTTCCCTGTAGTGCGACACAAACGGTCATTTATCTCCGCAATTACTGAAAGAAAAAATATGTCGGCTATCAATAGTTGCTTACTAAAGGATTAACACTTAGCGAATCAAGGAGACACTAACTGCATGATGATTATTCAACAGGAGCAAAACCCACGTACAGCACAGTTATATTATGACAGCAGACGAAACTCAATGTTTCCCAACGTGGAGCCTAAGCCATGAAAACGGAATTGTCCAGAGTTTATATTATGAACAAATTACACATGGAGCATATGTTTTTTAGAAAGTATTCGGTAGGGCATGGCACACACATGTGTGGGCATGTGCCTATGGTCGAGGCGGCCAGAAGAGCTAGAAACAGAACCTTATATCTCCCTCGACACCCACAGTGGTAAAAGAGGAAGTGAAGAAGAAGCACACACACACACACACACACACACACACGCACGCACGCACGCACCCACCCACCCACGCACGCACGCACGCACGCACGCACACACACACACGCACGCACACACACACACACACACACACACACAGAGAGAGAGAGAGAGAGAGAGAGAGAGAGAGAGAGAGAGAGAGAGAGTTGGGAAACACTGAAGTAACCTATATTCCAGTTTGGGTAGTTTGGTACTCCTTAGTTACGTTCCTTCTTTGTGTTTCAAGAAATCGTGCACTTCACTTTGGTGTGCATGATGTTGTAAAGGGGAATGACTAGAGTACCTGACATACTGACAAGACTAACTATATCAGTACAGTGTAACTCTTTTGGTGCCAGACTATGTCGGCGTCTGTGGTTTAGGCTTTGCTAACGCACTTCATAATGCCGAGGGGACAGGTTTAATTCCAACTGCAGACAATTTAACAACTGACCGCCTAGTGTTGGCTTCGACAGTGTTATCGAGAACTAAACGTAGTCACTACACGGCATTTTTTTTTAAATTTATGACAAAAAATATCACTTGTTCAATGTGTTCGTTTTTGTAAAATTCGGCATTCGTAGAATAGATTACACACAAAATTTATGTCATTAGTAAACAATTTAGCTTTGAAAAGTTATTACTAAAATCACTAACCCATGCACTTTTTTAAGATAAAAAGAGATTAAAAGTCAGTTTTCTCACATCTCTACATTTCTGTTTGTCGTGTGCGTGAAATCCTAAAATCTCAGCTAATATAAAGATTAGAAACATGAAATGTTGTATGAATACTCCTCAAACAATGTTATAGGGACTGGTTTTCTCAAAAATAGATTTTAGAGAGCTTTTTATTTTAAATTTGAATATTGTCTTGTAATGCAAGATGGCTGGATTTTATTTGCTTCTCTTTTTGACTTATCCATGGTTGGTTGGTTTTTGTGGCTATGGTTTTTACAGGATGAGGTAGCCAACCTCAAGCCCAACCCTACACTTAGTCGCCTCTTACGACATGCCTGGTAGGGTGCAGTGTCACTATTCTTTGCTTCCTGTGAGGGCCCAGGTGACACACGGGCGACATTTGAAATTAAAACCCTTCAACTGTAGCTTTTCTAATTTCCTCTTTGGATGGTATCTCACAGTTGATATCCAGTTCCATTTCTAAAGGCTGGATATATGGGGGAACCTCTGGGCGTGGTCTATTTAGAAGCATTTCAAAAAATTCAACCCATCTGTCCATTTGATCTTTAGTGTTAGTAAGTACCTTTCCTTGACTATTTTTGATTGATCCAGTTGGCTGACTATATTTACCTACTAATGTTCTTGTGTTACTGTAAAGTTCTCTGAGGTTTCCTTTTGCTGCTGCTGTCTCCGCTTCTTGTGCTAGATCATTTAGATATTTCACTTTATCTGCCCTTATATGCCTCCTAACTTCCTTGTTGGCTTCTGTGTAATTCTCCTGAGCTCTAGCTTTAGCAGCTCTAGTTTTGCTATTGTTTAATTCTGCCTTTTTACTTTTCCTATCTTCAATCAGTTTAATGGTTTCTGGTGTTATCCATGCTTTATGTTTCCTTTCTTTCTTGCCAAGAACTTCTACGCAAGATTCATTCCAGATTCCTTTGATCTGATCCCAGCAGACTTCTGTGTTGACATCTTCAGCTAACTGCTGCAACACCTGGTACTTATTAGAGACCGTAACTGAGAACTGTTCCTTGATTTCTTTATCTCTGAGAAAGCCTACATTATATTGGTTTCTATGATTATAAGATGTTATATATCTTTTTAGTTTCAACTTGATTTTACTTATCACCAGGAAATGGTCAGTAAATACATCGGCACCCCTGAAAGCCCTAACATCGTATAGGGATGATCTAAACTTTTTGTTAATACATATGTGGTCAATTTGATTAGTTGTCTTATGGTCTGGTGATTCCCATGTTGCCTTGTGAATTTTTTTATGGGGAAAAATACTTCCACCATTAACATACTGGTTACCTGCACAAAAATTTGTGAACAATTCTCCATTTTCATTCATTACTCCTAGACCATGTCTCCCCATAATTTCTTCATAACCTGTGTTGTCTGATCCTATCTTAGCATTCAAGTCACCCATCAACATTTTTAAGTTGCCCTTTCTTTCATTATTTATAATATTTTGAAGCTGCATGTAAAATTCTTCCTTAACAGATGCATCTTTATCATTTGTTGATGCATAACACTGTATTACCGACATGTTCACCTTCTGTTTTACTGTTCTAAAAGATGCTCTTATTATTCTGGGACTCACAGCTTCCCATT